GGTATGTGTTTGTGATGTGACCCCCTCTCTCTCTCTCTCGCGCGCTCTCTCTCGCGCTCTCTCGCGCTCTCTTGGGCGTGTTAGAACGAGCCGTTTTAGGGTTGGCGTGGCAGAGTCTTAACTTTGATAAAGAATATCTCTTTGGTTTTGAGACTTTAGTCTTTGCAACTTCAGGGATCTTATCTATGCACAATCAGCTTGTAACACTCCAAAGAGAAAGGAAAACTTGAAATCGCATCATATGACCCCTTTAAGCTGAACATGCTGTGTAAGACCCTTAACTAACAGCTTTTAGAGCCACGAGACCTCTGTAGATGCAAACAGCTGGCCATAAACATTTTACCTCCCATATACAAGACATTAGCATATGCCTCTGTCATATTTGCATATATAGGAAGAAGTAAGTCCTCCTGGGAAGTTAATGTTTATGGGTTTGGCAATTGCATTTTCCTCCTCTATTTTCACTTCCCAGCTTTATAGAGCCAAACTAAAGAAAAAAGAGGCAAATTATGTGTAATTTGACATTTTTGAGCCGCCATAGGAATGTAGCTTGGTCACATGAGTCTGTCTCCTCATGAACTGGCGAAATGAGTCGTATTTTCTGGGAAATTCTAACACTATTCTTCATAAACAGTACACAAAATGCATGCAAAATAAAAAGTCATAAATTAGTGACTGACAATCTCCAAAAACGCTCATAAATAAATAAATAAAGGCCTAATTTTACTGTAATAATAATAATAATAACATATTTTAATCTTGTTCATATTTTTGACTGAATACATTTTTCACTATGAACAGATTTATTCTGATTCTAAGCATAATAATAAATGCATTTTGAAAATATGATTATTAAAATAAAATCAAATAGATGCAACTAGTTATTAAAAAACTATGCCATGATTTTTCTCAGTACCAAAATCATACCTGTTTCATTTATTTATGACTGACAAATATGCATCACATTAAGTTTATTTATTTGTTTATGTTAAAATGCATAAATATTAAATCTTATCCCTAAATATTTTTTGAGAGAGCTGTGAGATTAACTGAGGAGTTTTTGTGACACTGCATCATTTGTGACCCTGGACCACAAAACCAGTCATAAGGGTCAATTTTTCGAATTTGAGATGTATACATCATCATAAATAAGCTTTCCATTGATGTTTGTTAGGATAGGACAATAATCTGAGGATCTGAGGGTGCAAAAAAATCTAAATATTGAGAAAATCGCCTTTAAAGTTGTCCAAATGAAGTTCTTTGCAATGCATATTACTAATCAAATATTAAGTTTTAATATAGTTACAGTAGGAAATTTACAAAATATCTTCATGGAACATGATCTTTACTTAATATCCTAATGATTTTTGGCATAAAAGAAAAATCAATAATTTTGACCCATACAATGTATTTTTGGCTATTGCTACAAATATACCAAAGCGACTTAAGACTGCTTTTGTGCTCCAGGGTCACATTTGTGCAGTGCATATTGGGACTCATTTATAAGGCATGTGGTCATAAGTAGCCAAATATCTGTGCACTGACTTTCTCATCTGTTGCTGTCTGTCCTTGTACAGTCTATATTAGCCTCTCAAACAATCAGGAAACCGGTCCAGCTGTCCTTATGGGGTTTGGGAGTGAACTAGTCCTCTTGTTGTCATTCCTGAGATTAGGTTCAGTGTTTACTGGATTAAAATCACTCCTCACTAGTTGTTCTGGAGAATTGAAAGTGATTCTTCTTTACCAATGGGAAGGAACACATTGTGTTTTTAAATAGCCTATACTATAGTTCACACAAACACCTGCCAAAAGCTTGACTTGCTTCTTGCTACTGCTGCATTTTTGGTCCATGGTCAGAAGCATAGACTGTACGATTTAAACGTAGACTACCATTCTGTAAGATCTTTTAATGTTTTTAAAATATGTTACTTATGCTTAATAAAGGCTGCATTTATTTGATCAAATACACTAAAAACAATAATATTGTGAAATATTGTTATCATTTAAAATATGTTTTTCTGTGTACATTTTAAAATGTAATTTATTCCTGTAATTCAAAGCTGAATTTTCAGCATCATTACTCCAGTCTTCAGTGTCACATGATCCTTCAGAAATCATAATAATATGCTGATTTGCTGCTCAAGAAACATTTCTGATTATTATCAATATTGAAAACAGTTCAGCTACTTCATATTTTTGTGGAAACTGTGATATTGTTTTTAGGATTCTTTGATGAACATTTAATGCCTCCTTCCATGCTAACAAACATGGACTAAAAGCCACAAAACTCTAATTTTGACAATTAAATATCTCATATGATGAATAATACCTTGATCCTGATGGCAGACTATTTTTGCAGCTGCAACACTGCAGTTTCTGTCCGTGAGGAAAAAAAATAAAGCTTCATATAAATGTAAACTGAATACTGATGCATATCATATATCTAAAATCTGATCTGCATGTCTTTTGATATCTGTTAAACATAATTATGTAGAAATATGAAAATGCTATTTTCATATTTTGAAATATTCCTGAGCTTAATTATGTATTCCAATGACAGTAAGACTCTCTTTACCATATACAAAGGTCCAGACTGTCCACTGTGATCAGATTGTGTCCTTCTGTCCTCTGCATCACTGCTAACGCCACCCTGCATCCAGCAGGAAGTGATGCGCTGTGCTATGCTGTGATTGGCTGATGTGGCTGATGAACTCCAGTGACCTGCAGAGCTCTGCAGCAGCAGCGGTGTGATCCACACACAAGCACTTTAGGAACAGTGTTCAATCAGCATCAGTCCAGACACAGACAGAGAGAGAGAGAGAATACAGTGACCAGCAGCAGCTTCACATATCTGACTGTACGGAAGGTTAGCAGGTTACTGGGTTACAACAGATAGATAGATGAATGGATGGATGAACGGATGGATAGAACAATACATAGATAGATAGATAGATCTGTGTTTTTCTAATTTTTCAGAGGTTTCCTTGGTTTTAAGTGTGTGTTTTCTGCCATAGTTTCTGTGGCAACAGGAAAGCAAAGGTCTGCGGCGTGTTTTGTGATGGATTTGTGATTTGCTGAAGTGTCTTTTATGTGTGTTTGAGAGCTCACGTGTGTCTGTGTGTGTGTGTATCTTAAGGGAAAGTTTCCACTTCACTCACTTGAGATCCTCAAGTGCCCTAATTAGTATGCTGACATCACATGGCTGTGCGTCCTTTATCCGTGTCTCATTCAGCAGCACTGCGGTGTGAGTGTGTACTGTTTACCACACCGTAGTAATGGTGAAGCGGCTCAGAGCCAGCAGTAAATGTGATCGAGTGCTTCATCTGCTCAATGCACTATTTTAGTGGTGGTCTCAAGCGTTGCCATAGCAACAGGGAGTGATGCCTCAGAAATGACTTGATTGTCTGTAGAAAGATTCCCTCCGGCACACAGAGCTGTTCTGCAATTCTGTTTACACGTTTGATTATCTGTCTCTTTACAGCTGTCAGTCATAGTTTGCAGGCTTTAAGCAACAGATGTACATATTTAAGTAATGGTTCATGTGCTTTCAGAAGCATTTCTCTGGGTTGTGGTTTGTCATTTCCTGATTTGAATTTACTTTACAGGTTACTGTAAACCAAACAGAGACCACAGAATACACAATAACCTAACCTTGTTATATAGTGATTTATAATAAATTTTATTTAATAATAATAATAATTATTATTATTATATAAGCCAATCACAGCATGTTTTTGAAAGTAGTGTCTTATGCATCCTCACTAAATAAAATTATTCAAAGTATAAAAGTGTCTTCTAGGTATAAAATGTCTTAAAAATAAATGCTACTGACCCCAAATAAAATAATATATGGAAGGCCTGTTTCCGCCACTGAATACAAGATAAAAAATGTAGCTAATTGCAACGTTTTATCTCACAATTGACACTATTTGTTTGTGAGATATCAACTCTGACTTTTGAGATAAAAAAAAAGTCAAAATTTTTGCGAGATATTAAGTCACAATTCTGACTTTATAACACAAAATTGCTGAGAAAAAAGAATTGTAAGATAAAAAGTTACAATATTTTTTTTATTCAGCGGCAATAAGATCTTCTCAAGCGTTTCTCCTATTCACAATAAATGGAGACTTTTCAGGACGTATCATTTTTCCAGTATGGCAAAAATATTTTTTTTTCTGATCAAAATATATGTGGAATGTATAGTTAAAGGGATAGTTCACCCATTTATGTGATGTGGGTTTCTCACTTGATGACAGCTGAAACCTATGACAAGAGTGTCCACATCCAGATCCAGGATGCAGGAGAGCATACTGACATTATACAGTTAAAGGGGTCGTATTCAACACGTTTGTTGCCCAAATGCAAATACAAAGCACAAATAAGATCTTCTCAAGCGTTTCTCCTATTCACAATAAATGGAGACTTTTCAGGACGTATCATTTTTCCAGTATGGCAAAAATATTTTTTTTTCTGATCAAAATATATGTGGAATGTATAGTTAAAGGGATTTTTTTTCAGTTTTGGTTTTCGACTAAATTAAATCTTTGTTTTCAACTTCTAATTTCGTTCAGTGTTTTGGTTTAAAAAAAAATTGGAGCATCACCAATTTAAATAAATGTATGAATTATAAATATAATATTTATGAATACATAATTGAATATATACAATTGATGTTTTAAATGGAATCATATAAAATCTAATAGTGAATAATTCATATGTGACAGTTAGGACTTTTATTGAAATTTCTATTCATCAGAAAATCCTGAAAGAAAATTTATCAGTTTCCACAAACGTACTGTATGAAGCAGCACAACTGTTTTCAGCATTGCTAATAATCAGCA